CTAAACCCACCCTAAACCCGCAGTCTTCTGAGGGAAGTTACAGGGTCCCTTAAGATGCTCCCCTGAGCCATCTTTCAAGGGTTCTGGGCGTGGATCTGGTGAGGATGGACTCGGGCCAGGTTGTTCACGTGCCTGAGCTGTCTCCTCACCGCATCTCCGTGTTTGTGAACTGCACGCGAGCGCGTTTCATGGACGCCGTCCAGGACGCCGATGCAGCGGAGGAGCAGCAGAGGCCAGTCCAACATGGAGGCCGTGGCACATGGAGGTGATGAAGGCCACGCCCAGGCCGGCCCTTGGGCTGTGGGGTGTATAACCACTGTGCTGTGGGGTGTGGCCCCCAGTTAACCTAAGAATTCTTGGGCCGACGGGAACCCTGAAAGCCCCTCAACCCTGAACCCTGAACCGTGAACCCTAAACCCTAAACCCTAAACCCTCAACCCTCAACCCTCAACCCTCAACCCTCAACCCTCAACCCTCAACCCTCAACCCTCAACCCTCAACCCTCAACCCTCAACCCTAAACCCTAAACCCTAAACCCTAAACCCTAAACCCTAAACCCTAAACCCTAAACCCTAAACCCTAAACCCTAACCCCTAAACCCTAAACCCTAAACCCTAAACCCTAAACCCATGCCATTCTGGGCTCGGAGAGGGAGGGGGTGAAGGACAAGCTCGCCCAGCTCGGTCGGAGGCTCGGCTCTCGGGGAGCAGCAAGGAACCGTCATCTGGGGGTTTAGGGTTTAGGGTTTAGGGTTTAGGGTTTAGGGTTCAGGGTTCAGGGTTCAGGGTTCAGGGTTCAGGCAAGCGCAATCACCAGCACTGAGTATCCGTGTGCTCACACTTTCAAGCGATTGCACAAGTCCTGATGTAGGGTTCTCGCTACGACTTAAGGTCCTTGGGCTCCAATACTACAACCCCCATCCTTAAGGATAAATCCTTACCTTGTGTCTACCATGATTCTAAGGGCAGTTGCACGGTCCCATACCAACGAAAGGGGACCCCTTATGTACCCCTTATATATTGTACAACCCAAGGGCCCATACTTCAGAACCCGTTTAAGAAGGTAAGGGACCATGTAACTCCCCTTAGAATGATGGCCTAAAGCATTGCTTTGGTTGACTACATAGGGTGGACCTCCCCCCACTACGCGTCGTGTACGTTTGTTCCTGGTTGGAGCTCCGAAATGGTTTTAAAAACGGGTTCAGAGCGCAGGGCTTGGTTGGAGGATATTCCCGAAGTTGCAAGGGGAAGTCCTAAAACCCAAGCCCTAAACCCTAAACCCTAAACCCTAAACCCCAAACCCCAAACCCCATGGAAAGGAGTTAGGAGGGTTGTCCTGATAGCCTTTACTGTTGGGACCGTCAGGACCTTGTCAGAAGAGGTCAGAGGTCTCCTTGCCGCTGCGGGCTTCTGCCTCCCCACTCGAGCCCAGCTTAGTTTCTATAAAACACATATCATTCGACCGGGGGAACCGAGGCGGCTCACACTGCCTAGCAGCATGGTTCGGGGAAGTGTAGGAGTAGATGTGCAGGGACAGCCCAGAGAGCTTGAGTTGGAATGCGCTGAGGCCATCGAGGTCACGAGCTCGGATGAAGAACCTATCAAAGCAGTGGGACTCAGGGTGGGAAATCTTCTTCGCCCCCCACCGATGAGCTACATGCGCAGACTGATGAGAGAAGAGGATGCCGATCTAGAACATACCTTTCTGCGGCAGGGCAGGCCTCTGCCCTCCCATGTGCCGCCCCTAGCTAGGCCGCCTCCCCCGTGCCAGGAGCCTGGCCCTAAAAGGGCCAAGACAGCCCCAGCGGGCTTCTAATCGTACCTGACTAAGGCCACCAACAGCTGTGAGTCTAGGAGCCGCGTATGCAACATACGCCAGCCTAGGGATCAGCTGTACTGAAAGCCCCAATTCTTTCACCTTTGCATGCCTGTGACTGTTTTGTACTGTGAGAACTTGTGGGCCTGCTACCGCTGCACTGGGATGCATGGAGTGTATCAGAGTGTCATGGTACTGGCTTGCGCTAAACCGCCGTTGGTGGGCGCCCTGCCCCCCCCTGACTGACTTTATTTGCTCCGCAAGTCGGCCTAGGCCTCGTGGAGGGCTCATGGGGGGAGATCCGCAGGAAATCGCAGTGGAGGCTTCTGATTGCTGGGCACAGGCCCCCCTGGAAGCTCATGTCCGCCTAACCTTTACGATCCTCTACCCCGCTACGGCTTAGTGCCCCTCCCTCCCACCCCTTCCTCTACCTTGTTACTAGAGGTTGTATATCCCGGGAGACCTGGTATATCTCTAACCTTTTTCCTAGGCGAATAGCTCTACAAACTAGGCAAACTGAGCCATGGCTGCCTGCGCTCTGAAGCTGTCGAGTGCATGAGGACTACGCAGGAAGCCCTACTGTGGATGTCTGGTGAAGGGCCGAACTGGAATCACGACTGTTCCAGTCTGGGCCAGCAGTGCTGATGATCGCATGGCATGAATCGGGAGGGCTATACTGGGCAACCTATGAGGGCCTCTCAGCCCTAGGCAGCGACAATCCCCCCATTCTGGGCCAGCAGTGGTCACGATTGCCTGGCCAGGGACTGGTAGACCTGCGTGAGCCTCTTAGGCTTTGGCTTCGTTGCATGACGGCCCAGTCGAATATCTTCGACCTGCAGCGTAGGCTGAAGATCGGCAAAGTGTATGGAGTGAAGCGGGTGGAATACACATCAAAGCTGGATGGAAGAAGCAACAGATGAGCTGCCCGTCAGCTGCATCTGCTGAAAAAGACAGTGACAGGTGGGAAGACTGGGTGGAAAGCATGCCAGCGACTGATGACCGCCTGCTCAGCGAAACTGGCCTGTCCGCAGCTAACCGCAGACTGCTGTGCTTATGAGCCTTCGAGGCATGAACCTGGCAGAATGCCCTAGGTAACAATGTATCTGGGGTAGGGAGTTTGCATGTACCACTACGTATCCCGTGCACTGGCCACAGGCGTGCCTAGATTTACCTCCATGATGCTCACGCGCAAACTCTGCAAGAAACCTCTGCTAGAATTCAATAATTCGTACTGATCGAGCCTCCCTGCATGCTGGTGAATTCATGCTGCACGAACCTCGTCACTTTGCATGGACATGTCGTTGTTGTAGCTACTATTTGCCCCTGAAATTTAGCCTCAATACTCCTAAGAGTTCCACCATGTGAAGCCCTTGGGGTCGAATAGGCCCCCGTCAAGCCTTGTCTGTGCGACTGACCAGTGTGCTCCTCTGCATGATGCTACATGTGGCTGCACAAAGCTGCATGGAGTATGTTGCATGCGCACTTCCGAATTCGAGAATTCAAGAATTTGTAAGTGGCTGCCGTGTGTGAACCCAGTAGGCCTGAAGGGAGGGGGAGCATGCAAGGGGCCCGAATCTGATTCACAGGCCACAGGCGTGCCCATAGCTACTGGTTGCTCCTTAAAGCTCCCACTCCCATGTAGCCTACCGATGAGACTCTCGTCTTTGTAACAGAAAAGGCTGATATGCCCATGAGATCCCGCTGGATTGTTCCACTGTCATACGGTGATTTATAGCGGGTGTCTCAACCTTACGGTTTCGTTAGCTTAACTCTTAGGGAACAATTCAGCTTTAATACTCTTGAGAGCTACAAGCCCTTTGAGACATGCGAAGCTCTCGGGATTGAATAGGCCCCCGTGAAGCCTTGTCTACTCTGCTGTAGTGGAGTAGGTGATGCTGGCGTGTCCCTCAGTTTGGTTGTACCCCCGGACGATACACCTGGCACGGTGATAGGATTGTGCAAGTGTTCCCAGACCATGGATAAGAACTGAGTGATGGAAGCCCGGGGGTGTGCCGTGCAACCACCCCCTCCTGTGTAGCCCCACAAGACAAGGGACCTGCCGGAGCGTACTAACTACCCTTGTACCCACACCCCAGTGCTACCCTAAACCCTAAACCTGGCTGGGGAAATGCGCGCTGGCAACAACTCCCAGGTTCCTGTGAGCGGTAAAGCCATTTGAAACAGGTAGGGCTCTGAGAATAAACAGACCCATTTGAAGCCATGGTAACTCTGCTCTAGCGAAGTAGATGCCATTGGCAAGTCTGCCACGTGAACGTATCCCCGGGGAAAGTATCTGCAGTAGCCCTTGCTGATGTAGTGTGGGCGTATTACGAGTCGATTGAACCCCAACACTGTAAGACCGGGGATATGAAGCTCTGTCACCCCCCGTGTACATCGTTTCCAGAATAGTGAGCCTGGCCGAGTGCGTGCATCTCCTCCTCCGTAGTGAAATCAATCCCTTTACTGTCAATCCTGCTGTGATGCCCTCTGGCCTACGTGCCACTCGGACAGGTGCGCTGGGGGAGTCGGGGTTCTGATCTTCGCACTTTGAGAGTCCGGGGATGGTGGCTTTGGGGCGATTTCTGGTCATCTTGGTGTTATACTGGTGTTGATTCTGCTGTTAGTGGGTAGGGTTGACTCCGAAGGCCATCTTAAGGGCTCCAGCAACGGACTAGCGACTTTTTTTAACCTGAACTTTGGCGATTTCTAGGCCTGACCTCTTCCCCGTATACGCTTGCGAAACGGGTGGGAAAAAAAACCCCAAACCCCAAACCCTAAACGGATGCCGGGGCGTTTGGATAAACTTGCCTCCAGCGAGCCCTGCAGAGCCCCTCGAGCTCCAGATGCTCAGATTCCCTTGCCGGCCCTCTCCTAAACCTCCAATGAAACGTTAGGGTTTAGGGTTTAGGGTTTAATTCGGGTTTAGGGTTTAGGGTTTAGGGTTTAGGGTTTAGGGCTGCCCTATAAGCAAGACCCATGCCGCATGCCCAAGGCCCCATATTCCCAACCCCTCTCAACCCTACTTTGTAGTTATACGCAGGGCTCTAAGTTATGAGGAGGGTTTACATCTCTTTATCTTTATATACTGATAACCCTCTTCAGGGTACATATAGAACTCTACTTATACCTACCCATGAACCTCCCAGAAGAGCCCCGAATTCCCAGGCTTCTACAGAGACGCCCCCATGACACGAAACCATGAGCCGAGGGCTTTCTGGCGAGGCTGCGGGCGGGTTTAGGATTTAAGGTTTAGGGTTTAGGGTTTAGGGTTTAGGGCCCACTTGAGAGCACATAGACACTTGTGGGAAGCGAGGGGATTTTCGAAGAGACGTGTGGGAGGGGGTGTCCGCTGTACCTAGATACCTCGAACCCCTTAAACCCTAAACCCTGACCTTGGACCCGAAGCCCTAAACCCTAAACCCTAAACCCTAAACCCTCACTTTGGTGTTTGTTGGTTTGGAGTGGCAGAGTCGAAGCCCTGATCTTGGGCCCTTGCAGCCTCAACCTGCTACCTGGAAGCGTGTGGGACTTAGTATGTTTAGGGTTTAGGGTTTAGGGTTTAGGGTTTAGGGTTTAGGGTTTAGGGTTTAGTATGTAGGGTTGCAGGTTGGTGGAGGTGAGGCCCCGAAGCCCTAAGCCCCAAAGCCGAAGCCCTACATTAGGGTTTAGGGTTTAGGGAGTTTAGGGTTTAGGGTCTTGGGGTTTTAGGGTTGCTCCATGCAGGCGGCCGCAACGTGCGGAAGGCACAGTTGGTCTCCAGACATCTGCTACTTGGAGGTTCATGGTACTTACTAACCAATTATAACTGTACTTCTAACCCCACTTATAATACCCCTAAAGGGCCTTATAAGTGTTATCCCAATTATAAGTAGGGTTATAAGTCCAGTTATACGTGGTTATTAAGTCCCATGAACCTCCGAGTAGGACCTTGGGTCATGATTCTCCCCCCCCCCCCGCCCCTAGCCCCCCTCTTAAGTACAGAGTAGACCGAAGAGGGTTTAGGGTTGGGTTAGGGTTTAGGGGTTTAGGGGTTTAGGGTTGAGGGTTTAGGGTTGCTAGAGCGAGGGTGCATTTTTGGGGATTTGTTTTTGTCTATTCGAGAGCCCAAGGGAGCCCTTTGAAGTAAGGAAATGGGGCTTAGAGCTGGGTTGCGCTGTGAGATGATTTTGTCCCTTTTTTCCTTACAAGAGAACCTATTCATAAATCGTTCTCATTGAGCTTAAAGCACAACTCAAATTTAGGGAGTTCAGTTCCCCCACATGGCAAGGTTGGCGGTTTCAAGCTTCTGAGAAACTCCCTAAACCCTGAAGCCCCAAACCCTCGAGTTTTGGGAGCTCTGGATTCCATTGGAAGACTCGTGCTCCTAAGGTTTTACCCCTTAATGTACTCCTAAATTGGCCCTTTGATTACCCTTAGGAATCTTGAAAAGGGTCCCCAAACCCAAGGGTACCACCTTAGGGGTCCAAGGTGAAGTCCCTTGATTGGACTTTGCCCTAAACCCTAAACCCTAAACCCTAAACCCTAAACAGCTTCAACCCCTGGTCGTCTGGCAAGCCCCTGGTAGGGAGTATGCCTAAGCCTGGCGTGTTCTAGTTCTTTGCGAGCTGGCTATTTGATCTGAGGGGGTATCTTGGTTGGGCAGGCAGTCTCCTGATTCTGACTAAGTCGACTAGTTCGGCTCTGAAGTTAACTGTACACAGCATTCCCTCTTCAGTTGCCCCGCGGAGACGGGTGGCAAAAAAAACCCTAACCCTAAACGGAGACCTGAATTCTTCTAGGAGGAGGGATCACCTTTCCATGCCAGTACGAACTACAAGCCCTAAACCCTAAGCACTTATCACGGTGTTTAGGGTTTCGGGTTTAGGGTTTAGGGTTCAGGGTTTAGGGCTTTTAAGCCAAGTTATGGCCTTGACCTCCTGAGGTCCGCGGATTTCGTGGACCAACACTACGAGGTCTCGTTTGCAGATGCTTTCCATCTCAGGGCTTGCCTTTCCGACGCTGCGTAGGGTTTGGGGTTTAGGGTTTAGGGTTTAGGGTTTAGGGTTTAGGGTTTAGGGTTTAGGGTTTAGGGCTTAGGGTTCAGGGTTCAGGATTCACGGTTTAGAGGGGTTTCCGGGTTGAGGAGTCCTGGAATCCAGCTCGGGGAGCCGCCTTCCAGGTTCGACTAGGGTTTAGGATTTAGGGTTTAGGGCTGAGGGTTTAGGGTTTAGGGTTTAGGGTTTAGGGTTTAGGGTTTAGGGTTAGGGTTTAGGGTTTAGGGTCAGAATGCGAAACTCCTGACCCCTACGATGGCATGGCTCAAGGTCATGGCATTGCTTGAGGTAGGACCCAGAGCAGGCCCGTATTCTAGGGTTTAGGGTTTAGGGTTTAGGGTTTAGGGTTTAGGGTTTAGGGTTTGGGGCGGGTTAGGCTCCCAAACTGTATGCCCCTTTGTCACCAGAACAGGCACCCCTCGTCTCTTTTTCCTGGTTACTCTTGGGTCTGGTTAAGGCCTGGAGTTTAAGGCGGGTATAAGATTGGCTCCCCTCGCAGGTGGTGAAGCGGCAAGGCGCTCAGGGGGCTGATTAGGGGTGTCTGTGGGCTTCAGGTTCAGCATCGAGAGAGTTTCCCTCAGGAGGCTGGGAATCTTGTCAGACCAGGTTTTATGCGTGCCAAGCATATGTGGTCGCCTATGTGTTTGAAGCCCCCGGTGATGACCCAAACTTAAGAAAGGTTCGCCACATCATACCGAAAGAGGGTGCAGATATGTCAGAGCCGCCGGTCGTTGTCCCGGGCCACCGCACGTTGACAAGGAAGAGGTCGCCAGCAACTTCTCCGGGAGGCATTGCTCCGCTTTCGCCTGGGTCGGTAGAAACGACACAGACGACGGTGTCAACATGCTTGACTGCCTGGCAAGTCTTCCGAAGTCATGTATGTGTGCTTGAGAGCTTGGTGGAGTCTGTGTCTGGGTCGAAACCTACTAAGGGGGCTCAGCCGAGTTTCGACTTGCATCGTTGACCTTAATTATGCCAAAACCTTAAACCCAAAGCCACAATCTAGTATATGCCTAAGAACCCCCTAGAAAGAAACAAACATTCTTCTTCGTAAGGGCAGTACAGGGGTTTTTGTGTTTTTTCGTTGGTTCTTAAGAAAATAGAAGCAGTTGAGCAGTTTTGTGGGCCGCCCTTCTTGCAGTCAAGGCGGGTCGAGGTTTTCGTCGTTGCTCAGTAGTCGCTAAACCCTAACCCTAAACCCTTTAACCCTTCTGATTATGAACTCTGAGTCTTAGGAGGGTCAGGCGACAGTTGAAGCAATTGCAAGGGTCCAGCTTGTCTTGCCTTCAAAGAACGTGTGAGTTCCCTGCCTAAACCCTAAACCCTGACCCCTAAACCCCAAACCCCAAACCCCAAACCCCAAACCCCAAACCCCAAACCCAAAGCCAACCCTTTACTTGGACCTAAACACTCAGAGCGTGACTGGCCTGGTCGTATGTAGGTAGCTTCGCGAGAAGCAGAGCCTGAACTCTTCCTTGCCTACGCAAGGAGGGGTTTGTGGTTTAGGGTTTAGGGTTCCTACTTGGAGGTTCATGGATAGTTCTAAGTAGGGTTGCAAGTATCCTAAGTAGGGTTCTAGGTATAGCTGCCGCACTTAGAACCCTACTTATCACTACTCAGATGAAGCTCCAACCAAGTTGTGAGGATCAGCAGCAAATTGAATTGCTCGGGGCTTTAGGCTAGAGGGAGGTTTGGGGTGCAGGGTGCAGGGTGCAGGGTTTAGGGTTTTGGTTCTAGGGCTCAGCCTGCCCCGCTAATCCTTGCGAAAGCATGAGCTGTCAGTAGCGCCAAGGCTGAACGTTGGCAGCTTCAGCCGGGTCAACCTTGTCCGCGAACGCAGCTCCTACGAGCTCCGAGTGTGCAAGGTCTGAACTCATGAGATGTGGCCCATATGCTGCCCCAAACTCAAACTGCCCTCATGTTTCTACTAGCCTCACCTTATTGCTTTGCCCCAAAGCTGCCCCCATACCCAAACTGACCTTATATTTATAATAGCCTCACCTTATTGACTACCCCACACCAGGAACAAATGCAAGGGTGATTATGGACCTTAAGTCGGGTTGGGGAATAGTATCGGATCTTATGAGGAAACCATCAGACTCATTCACCAACTCGGTTCATGGATTTCACACCAGCCCGCATACAACCCCTAAATTGGGATCCTCCCCCTTATTCCAACCGTCCTTAATAGGGATAAAAACAGGGGGTACTACAATCCCCATAAAGGACTGGTAGCATAAGGGGCAACATCCCATCCCCTAAGCCCTGAACCCTACACCCTACATCCTCTCCAGCTCTTGCCAGGGAACCCCGCGAGGTACGAACCCATAAAGCCCCTGAAAAGAAAGCAGCTGCGTGAACTCCCTGGGTTGTTTAGGGCTTGTGGCTTATGGTTTAGGGTTTCGGGTTTAGGGTTTAGAGCATCAAGCCTTAAACCCTCAAAGAACAAGGAAATCTAGCGGCCGCTTGGGGCTTAAATACAATAAGAACCTGTGCCAGAACTCTAAATGGGCCACTCAGCGGATAGCTATTGTGTTACTTGCAACTCTTTCATTGCAAACCCGAGTCAGGTTTTAGTTAGGAGTTTTGGCTTGTGGGTTGCTTCTTCACTTGATAAGCCTGCCGTCCACACCAACTTTGCCACGACATTCTATGAGCATGCTGCCGAGCGAAGCCCTTCTCCGTAACGTTTGGCAGAGCATTCATTTCCGTATGACCCAAGAATCATTTGCAATGAGGCCCTAGTATTCCCTTCCGAAGCCACCATTGCTGTTACCACTATTTGCTTAAGAACCCCCCCCCCCCCCCCCCAAGAAAAAACAAATCATAAATACAAGACAACAATTCCTCTATTGCCCTTTTCCGGAAGAACGTTTCCTTTTTCACGGTTAAGGGTAGGGGGGAGGGGGAGTTGTTCTAAGCAAATTGTGGGTTAGGGCCCAAAACCTAAATGAGTAGTTTCCTAAATTAGGGTACTTTTTTGGTTACACAATAAAAAGGCGGCACCCTTTAAACAGGGATCCCAAAAAAGGGACCCAAGCTTAGGGAGCTGCCCAAACCTAAATTGAAGCAGGGTTTATATTTCTGTTTTTGGTGAGTGTATATAAGGTTCCTTTTTTAATATTGGTGAGTGTATATACCTGCTGTCCTTTTGGGGGTACAAGAAATACAAACCCTGCTTCAAATCCCTGCAGGTCATCGACCTCAAGGGCATGGACCCTCATGTGCTTGGCATGATGAGGCGCAGAGGGGGCTTGGGGGGGTGGGGTTTAGGGTTTAGGGTTTAGGGCTATGGGGTTTGGGGTTTAGACTTCTGTCTAAGGGTAGTTCAAGGGTCAGGGTTTCGGGCTTAATTCGAGTTTGTCTAAAGGTAGTTACTCGGTCCTTTAATCTGGTCCCTTACTTGCTGTAAAAGGGTTCTGAAGTATTTCGCCCTTGGGTTGAGGGGTATAGAAGGGTTCCCCCGCATTCAGGGCCCACGTTAAGGGAAATTCCCCTAAGAGTTTGGAAGCTGATTCTCCCTTACACCCAGCTGGTTCAGAAACGGCTCTGCTTGTAAACCCTGAACCCTAAACCCTAAACCCAGGAAGGAAGTGCAGATCCTATCTGCCCTGGACCACCCCAACATAGTTCGGCGACTTGGCTGCGCTCCCATGTCTCCTATAGGCATCCCTCAAGGAGTGGCGGTACTCTTCTTGGAGGTCTATGGTACTTAGTAAGCAAAACCCTAAACCCTAAACTGTATTTATAACTGTACTTCTAGCTATGTTGGGGCACTGAAGGGGCTTATAAGTGGGTTATAAGTACAGTTATGTTGGTAAGTACCATGAACCTCCAAGCAAGGGTAGCTATTGGGACGTTCCCCCTTTTTGTAACAGTGCTTAATGGGGATTACAATCGGGGGTTCTATAATCCGAGGGGGAACATCCCCAGCCCTGAATATGTGGTCCCTGACCTCCTTTAAACGTTCCTGAAGTACGGGCCCTTGGGTTTTAGGGTTTAGGGTTTAGGGTTTAGGGTTTAGGGTTTAGGGTGAAGCGCCCAACTGAGGGACCATGTACCTACCGTAAGAGATGCAGACCTGAATTCATTGTAGCAACCCTACATAGTTCAAGGTATATGTGACATACTATTGCTTAGTCGACCTTCTCATAGTCTACGGTTTGCTTGAGAAGGCCTAAAACAGCACAACATAGAGATACTCCATATAAGGGCAACATAGGGATCATTGTTTTTTCTTCTTTCGGTGGCGTTCTCAAGCAAATAGTAGATTAAGGTCACCTTAGTTTAAGGTGTACATTCTTCCTTAGAAGGGTCTATATAGGGATGAGTATCCTCTATTGTTGAGGATTCTCAAGCAATGAGTAGGATGTGGCCAGTTCTCTAAATGATGGTCCCTTTTTGGGGTGCCCTAAAACACAGGGGGGGCTGCCGTATACTCGGGACCCCAAAAAAGGGACCATGTGAGAGCAATCAACATATGCAATCCGGGCACAGACTCTTGTCTAGAAGGCTGGGGGGGCATCCCTACAGCCTTACGAAACTGAAGCCCCTAGGTTTAGGGTTTAGGGTTTATGACAAGACTTGAGGAGTTCGCTGGCTTTGGGTTTCCGCCAACGTCGCAAGACTGCTGTTTAGGGCCGCGCCCGCTTGGATGTGTCAGAACCCCCCCCCACCCTAATTTCTATAGGGCACCGTCTGATTTAGGGGTTTTAGGAGGTCCCCTATACAACCCCCTTTTTCTACCCTCTTTGTGTAGCCCCTACATTATCCCCAAGGTCCCTTACAAGCTTCCCTCCTTTCGTGTCCTTTGACTAAGGCTCTACGAGTTTGCCGAGGCATTGGGGGCTGGAATTTTTCCAACAATCCCCGAGCCGAACGTTCTATTCTCGAACTATGCATGCCTAGGGCCCAGAGTAGGCCCTTATTCCTTTTTTGTTTTTGACTCCTTTTTTGGTTAGGGTTTAGGTCCCCTTAGAAGCCCGCATTTTTTCTATTACTGGGTTGCTCTTGGGTCTAGATACAGGGTATGGGTTTTTGCAGGTCGTCCTATGCTTCCTTCTTTCGATTCCCTGCCCTTCACATTGAAGCGGAACCCTAAACCCCTAAACCCCCCACCCAGGGACTCCAATAGAAGGAAGATTCCTTACATGTAAGAGGGTTCCTTAATTATGTTTCAGGAATATCCCTTAAGTGTGGAGTGTTGGAGTACTGGAGCCCCAGGGCAACCCGGACCAAATAGGAGGGGTTCCCAAGTACATCTGCTCTTTCCTGCTCGCTCTTAGTAGGGAATGAGGGAGTTAAGCGCCGCTAAGTTTTTGTACACTAAACTATAAAAAACAATATTGCTTCACAGATGCCCACAGGGGCTGTTAATTCAGATGCTCCCCTCCCCCCCATTGTTCAAGAAGCCAAGCCAAGAGCAAGATGCTGGACCCCAACAAGCCCAATGCCCCGGAACTGAGGACTTGACTTTAAGTCACGACAAGATCCCTACGCAGTCTGCCTCATAATTCTAAAGTTTAATTGAAGGGATTGTAAGCTCCCTCTAAACAGAAATAGGGGCCGTAGCAAGTTAAGTTGTAGATGGGGTCCCCAAATCCAGACCCTAACCTTAGAAAGCCGGGTAGCCCAGTGGTGCCCTTTCCCTTTTGTTGGTTCAAGGTTCCTTGATAAAGCAAGCAACCCAGAAAGGGTGCCCTCATCACATGCATTGCCCCACGAGGACGAACGGCGACAGGAGCTGGTGCTGATCCTGGAGAATCTTGGCATGAACTCAGGACCCTCAAACTTCTTGAAGGGTGGTTTAGGGTTTTAGGGTTTAGGGTTTTAGGGTTCCGGTTTAGGGCGCATTCGTACCATACTTATACCCCTACTTATCACTACCCACGAACCTCCAATTTTGCTGCGAATTTCCATGCCAATCCATGGCAAAAAGCGTAGAGGGTCTCTACCGCAAAGCGGGGGGGGGGCATGGGAGAGCTATTGTGAGCCGCAGGCCACCAGACAGGCAGGATTTGTAGCCCTAAACCCTAAACCCTAAACCCTAAACCCTAAACCCTAAACCCTAAACCCTAAACCCTAACCCTAAACCCTAAACCCTCTTGAACATCACAGGGACCACACACTTCTGGTTGGGGGGGGGGGGGTCGGTTCTCGACTCCTCTCTGCCCGAAGCCGCGGCAGATCAAACCCTGTAAGCCCCCCCAGCGACCCAACACATTCTAGGGTTTAGGGTTCAGGGTTCAGGGTTCAGGGTTTAGGGTTTAGGGTTTAGGGTTAAGGGTTTAGGGTTTAGGGCTCAGGGTTCAGGGTTCAGGGTACAGGGTTTACGGTTTAGGGTTTAGGGTTTAAGAGGGTTCCTTATAATATATGGTTTTTTCAGGACTATTGCTTGATGAAGGGGTAGTGGAGTCTCGGGGCCTAAAGTCCCTAAAAGGAAAATTCCTAGTTCCTGAATATGGTTTGAGGAATGTTGCTTGATGAAGGGGTATTGTAATCTCTCCCCAGAGAGCTCTGGGTGTAGGGTTTGTGGGGTTTAGGGCTTAGGGTTCAGGGTTTATAGGGTCTAGGGTTATTTCGGTTTAGGGTTGTTGGGTTTAGGGTTTTTTAGGATTAAGGGTTTCTAGGGTTTAGGGTGATGGGTGAAAGGGTTTATAGGGTTTATAGGGTTTAGAGGGCTTGAAAGGCTTTAGGTCCTTTCAGGGTTTGTTTGGGGTTCAGGGTTTATAGGGCTTGTTCTTTTTCAAGCGCCCCTGAGGTATGTGCAGGGTGGCGACTGCATCGACCTTCTGGAGGCAGGCTTCTTCCTTCCCCTCCCCCCACCCCCCCCCCCCCCCCCCCCCCCCCCCCCCCCCCCCCACACTCCTCCGTGCACCCGAAACCCTAAACCCGAGACCCTAATCCCCAAACCCTAAACCCCAAGCCCTAAACCCTAAACCCCTAAACCCCAAACCAACAAAAGGAACCAGCTCTTTTTCTAGACGGGGGGCTTTCGTACAACTTTATCACTTTATAAGTTTAGGGTTCCTCTAACTTCATACTAAGGGAGCTAAAAGTTAAACTTTCATTGGGGGGTAACCCTAAACCCTAAACCCTACACCCTGAAAACCGAGCTTGTTGGGTGCAGGAGAGGGAGCGGCTCCTGCCTGAGGAGTTGGCCGCCAGGCTTCCAGCTTTTGGTGCTACCTGGTGCTTGGAGTTCAGGGTTTAGGGGTTTAGGGTTTAGGGTTTAGGGTTTGGGGGTTTGGGGGTTTGGGGGTTTGGGGGTTTAGGGGTTTCGGGGTTTAGGGTTTAGGGTCCTCGCTTTCACTTACTTAGCCAATAGTTGAACTTTAATTTTTTTTGGTTTCTTTATTTAGTAGTAAGAATAAAGCTTAACCTTTTTTCACCCTTGGTTGTTGGAGAAGTAGGTGGATTTTCGGGTTGAGGCTATAACCCCTTAGGAACGATTCTTTATGCCTATTTTTATTGAAGCCAAGGGGGAACAAAAACGACGATTGTTTTGATTAGGGTTCTAAGGGTGCTATAGTAGGGATTCATGAGAAGTTCATGGATCGTGCGAAGTAGGGCTATCCGTATGGTAACTATACGTTTAACCCTACTTCGGATATATATATATATACACATAACCACCCATGATCCTCCAAGACATAACCACCCATGATCCTCCAAGTATAGCCTGGGGAGAACTTATAGCAGATTCCATGCAGTGCACCCTCAGTACACCCTCCTAAACCCTAAACCCTAAAGCTGTGGACGCTTACCCACCTTCAGTCGTACTCAGGTTCCTATATATGGTTGAAGGTATGTTCCTTAACTAAGCGTTTTTTGGGTTCTCTGTGAGAACTTAAACCGGTTTAGGGTTAGCAGTTTCGCGGTCTAGTAGTCGTAATTAGGATCCCCAAATAGTTTAAGGCTAGGGTATATTCCTTGAAGGGTTTGCGATTCTTAGTTTTTTGGGGGGGTGCAACAAAGCTTGTGCCTGGAGGTTCGTGCGTAGTTCTAAGAAGGGTCACAAGTACCCTAATTCAGTCGGGTTTTCAGTAGAGTCACCGTACTTACGACCCTACTTGTAACTACCCATGAACCTCCAAGTATAAACCCTAAACCCAAACCAAACCCTAAACCCCATAAACCCGCAACCCCAAAATCCAGAAGAGCCAATTACTCCTCAAGTTTGGGTTTACGGATCGAGGGCTGTGAGTCTGCGCCTTCGGAAAGTAGAGCGCGCAAAGATGCGTTCCCCAAAAGAAGGAATGATGCTTGTAGGATTTGGGGTTTTGGGTTGTGGGCTATATTCCGGATGCAGAAAGGGCTTAGGGCGCTTGGGGCTTCAGGTAGTTGGGCGCCTGCAGGATCGTCCACCAACTGCTGGTCGTGCTGAACTACTGCCACAGTTGCCACGGCCTGAGAGATTCATGGGTTCCGATATCCCTTAAATCGCAGTAAGAATCCTCCTTTGATATTAAGCCCTTCAAGCCCAAACCCTATAAAGCCTGTAAATCCTATCATCCCTACAAACCCTATAAACCGACCTACAAACCCTTTCTTTTTAAGGGGTAATGGCGACTCGGGGTCGTAAGCTCAGCCGATCGATCCAACAGCATAGCTGCTGGCTGCAAATACTTGGCCTCGACTGGCAGGGGCCTTTGGGTTCGGGGTGTAGGGTTTGGGGGCTTAAACCCTAAACCCTAAACTCTAAACCCAGTTGCAAGAAGGGTTTGGGGCGTCAAGGGTTTTGTGTTTGGGAGGTGGAATCACCCACCGCGACGTCAAGCCGGAGAACGTGATGCTCTCCTCACTGGATGATGATGCCACCTGCAAGGCGGTCAAGACACAAGCCCAAAGAGCCCAGGAATATAGGGTTTATGGTCTAGGGTCTAGGGTTTAGGGTTTAGGCCCAATAGAGCCCTTAAATTAGGAATGTACTTTCACAGCTAACCCTCAGACTTCCACACGATTTTTCAATTCGCTATCTTGTACACCCCACAAGTCCATGACCTCCCCCCCTCTTCCTCTCTCCCCTCTCTACCTGGTCGGATCCATCGCCCAGATGCGGATCGCTTGCGACTCTTTATGCCCCCAATTCCCCTAAACCCTATCCCCAAGTCAGGAGTGTAACAAGAGCCCTTGGTCTGCCCCATATAGTTTAAGGCTTAAGATTGATTCCCTAGTACGGTCATGCAAAGGAATTACATTCCCTTACGTTAAAGGAAGCCTCAGAAAGCGTACCCCTATTTTGGGAATCCCCCCAGCCTTCAACGAACTGGTCCTTCGTAGGGAATGAGGGAATGTTGGGGTTTTGGGTAAGCCCTGAACCCTAAACCCCTGTAGAATCCCTTGAAGGGCTTTCACACAGAGAAATACTTGGAAGATCTTGTGACTTCGAAAGTCTACCCTGCAAGAATCCCCATAACACAACTGACTAACCCTAACAACTAAGTCAAAAGGGCTACACACCTACCTCCCTCAATCACTACTAATAGCACTAAGAACCAGTTGGTCAAGCTCTGGAGGTCATCGACTTCGGGCTGGCTACGCCCTACAAGGGCCGTGTCAAGGAGTTTGCGGGGACGGTGTCGAGCTCCTGGCTGGTTTTTGGAAGGTTAATATAGGGGGCTTAGGGTTTCAACCCCTAAACCCCAAACCCTAAGCCCTAAGCCCCTAAGCTCTAAGCCCTGAGCCCTGAGCCCTAAGCCCTGAGCCCTGAGCCCTGAGCCCTAAGCCCTAAGCCCTAAGCCCTGGGTGGAAACCCTAGACTAGAGATGTGGCAGATTCGGGCATTGGGGGGACGTGGAGCAGCCAAGCCATGAGAGGAATCGATGGGGTCAGCGCTCTCAATGCGAGCCCTTTAAAGGGTAGGTATTCTATGTAATCCCTTAAAGGGTAGGCACCCCGTATGATCCCTTAAAGGGCAGGTACCCGAAATGAACCCTTAAAGAGTAGGTACCCTACATAATCCCTTAAAGGGGGTCTTTTCTCAACATCAGGATGCGGCTCTCAAGGTGTAAGTCTCGACTGGGTAATAGGGCTCGTAGCGAAAGCGGGACACACAGTTCCCATCCGGACAATCACCTCGTGGTAGGTGGATGGCAGTGAGACACGACGAAGGGAATCACGTCTCAACATGTTGCTGAAGCAGTTATCAGGTAGGCGGTAGGATGCTGAGGATCGTACTCTGGTGCATCGACCCTGGGTAGAGGGCCAGAGCTGCTCATATGCCCCAGAAGTCAAGAAAGAGTTTTTCTAGCCTGCAGGACCCAATACTTGAAGACTGCTACTGCTGCGTCGTGGCTCTCCACAAGTTGGGTGTTTCCGAAAATAGGAGTTTAGGGTTTCGGGTATAGGGAGGTCTAGGGTTTAATGTTTATAAGGTTTAGGGTTTAGGGTTTAGGGTTTAGGGCAGACTGCCAGGTATCTGGCGCCGGAGCTGGCAATTGCACAGGCCTGTGGCCGTGCTTTGAGGGCGGCGTCCGGCCACGAATTTGTGTTTGCAGTACTATAGTTACTATAGGGGTCGAAATAATTACTGATAATATTCCCTTGTGGTCCCTTCGTAATTCTACTATAATGGCTCCCTATTCAAGTTATTCAGGCCCCCTATATTACAGATATTTCAATTACATTCTTATAAGGCCCCTGGCACATACCTATAAGGTCTCAATCTTCAGGATGCAAGCATCAGGATGGCTGTAGTGATCTGGTCCAGGTGGGAGATTTTTGGTATGCAAGGTCAGAGATGTGTAGGTTTGGGGCTTCAGGGTTTATGGTTTAGGGTTGGGAGAGTTGCAGAGCTGTTGTGGGTTTCTATTATGCAGAGGCTTCCCAGTTTCTGGACGCATGTTCTTTTGTTGCCGGTCCATGCGTTTGACGGGCATGCGCACGCCGTAGAGTTGCAGCTTCTGAGACGTGTTGTCGTGCTGGTCCGAACAGGCTCAAGGATGAACCGGGCGGGGGGGGAAGGGGGTGGGGAGAATGTCAGAGGTAGCCCTAAACCCTAAACCCAGGATTTTCGGCAATGTCGGCTCGTCTACCTGGCCAAACCCAGATAGAGTCCAATTAGCGAGCACGCAAACGAAAGTGACGCATTACACCGGGATGCTCAGAACGGCCAACGTCTCGGCCGCAGGGTTCTCTATGAGGCGCTTGCGCACCAAAGGAACCCAGAACCTTGTTTAGGGTTTAGGGTTTCGGGTTTAGGGTTTAGGGGTAGCCTCTGGAAGAGTGCTCAGAAGGTCCCAGGCAGGCAGTGCAGCAGTCCTAGCCGTAAAAAAGGGTTTAGGGTTTAGGGAGTAGGGCTGCTGAGTATCGAGGTCAGCGCATGTTTCTGGCACTGAGAAACCTCTGAACATCTTCAAAAGTTAACCTTGTGAACCCCTGGTCAACTTCAGCCAGTGACTCTCAACCCTACACCCTAAACATCCCTAAACCCTTAAACCCGGGGAGGGGGATACTTGGAGGTTCATGGGACTTAATAACCACTTACAACTGGGCTTATAACCCTACTTATAATTGGGATAACCCCTATAAGGCCCTTTAGGGGTATTATGAGTGGGGTTATAAGTACAGTTATAATTGGTTATTAAGTCCCATGAACCTCCAAGTAAGGTACAGACACCAGCTGTCTTCGAGAGGTGCGCCTTGACTTCTTCCTCACGGAGACCCTGGGTTTGATTCGGCATCCCCCTAAACCCTAAACCCTAAACCCTAAACCCGAAACCCTAAACCCTAAACCCTAAACCCTATAGTGTTTAGGGAGTTTAGGGTTGATTTGAGTTTCTTTTAAACATTTAGGGTTTAAGGGTGCTCTGGATTGGTGTACTTGTACGAGTTTGGGGTTGGTTTGGAATGCTTAAAAAACAGTGCAGTGTTTGGGGTTTGCTTAGGGTTGGGTAGAGGTTTTATAGGTTTTGGGGGGTTTAGGGCTCTACATGGCTCTACTGAGGTTGAATGAGGTGTTCAAGGATCATAGTCATAGTTCTCTGGGCTTATCCAAGCTATCTGGAACAAGCGGTACAACAGGCAGAGACAAGGAAAGATCGTTCATGAAGGGTGCAGTTTTTTGTCTCCAAGAGCCAATAGTATTACTAATCTAGGACCCAGGGTAGGCCTGTCCTTTTTGTTCAAGGTTTAGGTTCCCCCATAAGCCCCTATGAATCCCAAAATGAGCACCCTTTTTCTTCCTAGGCTACTGTTGGGTCTAGTAATGGCACACCTTAATATCCTTCATGTCGGGTGCTTTGGCAGTTGAAGCAGGACTTCTAGTAATCCCAGCGTCATCTTATATGTAGGGGACCTCATTCCCTCATTCCCTACTAGCCAACAGTAAGTCGTAAAGGGCTTTGTGTCATCCCCTCGCCCTCACGGCGCCTTTGTTGAGTTCATGCATGGTTAGGCTGCAGGGTTCTGCCCTTGCCAGATGAGCCTGGTGATATAGAGGATGATGAACCCAAGATCTGATGTTGAGGCTTTTGGCGGCTTTTCATGAGCTGAATGTGCCCGCCCTGCCCGGCACTTAGATGTTGATGTTTGTGACTCTGACAACGAGATTTTTGCGTTTGCTGGTCATGTCTTTGGTCTTGTGCAGCCATTATCAATCGCTCTCGAGCTCCACTTTGCCCATATTGACACCTGGGCGTCGTCAGCAATGGCGGTGTCCATGCTTGTGTCTTTGGCTACCGTATCTGCTGCTTTGGCAGGCTCCGTCAGCACTCTCCAGGAGAGCAAGGGATCATGTGCTCTGCAGACGAAGATGAAGAAGGATGGGGCAGCGAAATTCATTACGTGCACTTCGGATGAGATCATGTGCCATGATCCAGCCACGATGACCGACAGCTGTCATCCGATGAGCGCTGGCTGCCCAGTCACATGCCCTGCAGGTGAGCACGTGTGTCATACGCCGGGGTCCTGCGACGGCTGCTCTGGCTACAACTGGTGCTCCTCCCACGCTTGCCCAGTGTACTGTGCAGCGGACGAAGTCGTGTGTCACGATTCCGCAACCATGACAGACAGCTGCCACCCCGCAAGCACAGGCTGCCCCATCACATGTCCAGCAGGTGACCAGGTGTGCCACGCGCCACCATCGTGTCCCACTTGTCATGATGGCCACAGCTTTTGTTCGCCGAGTTGCCCAGTCTACTGTGCCCCAGGTGAGCTCATTTGTCATGATCCAGCCACGATGACCGACAGCTGTCATCCGATGAGCGCTGGCTGCCCAGTCACATGCCCTGCAGGTGAGCACGTGTGTCATATGCCGGGGTTATGCGACGGCTGCTCTGGCTCCAACTGGTGCTCCTCCTACACTTGCCCCGTGTACTGTGCAGCGGACGAAGTCGTGTGCCACGATTCCGCAACCATGACGGACAGCTGCCACCCCGCAAGCACAGGCTGCCCCATCACGTGTCCAGCAGGCGACCAGGTGTGCCATGCGCCACCAACGTGTTCCACTTGCAACGATGGCCACAGCTTTTGTTCGCCGAGTTGCCCCGTCTATTGTGCGCCAGATGAGTTCCTGTGCCATGATCCAGCCACAATGACCGACAGCTGTCACCCGATGAGCGCTGGCTGCCCAGTCACATGCCCTGCAGGTGAGCACGTGTGTCACACCCCGCCGTCATGCGACGGCTGCTCTGGCTCCAACTGGTGCTCCTCCCACGCTTGCCCAGTGTACTGTGCAGCGGACGAGGTGGTGTGCCACGATTCCGCAACTATGACGGACAGCTGCCACCCCGCAAGCACAGGTTGCCCTATCACATGTCCAGCAGGTGAGCAAGTGTGCCACGCTCCACCGTCATGTCCCACTTGTCATGATGGCTACAGCTTCTGTTCCTTCAGTTGCCCGGTCTATTGCGCCCCAGATGAGCTCGTGTGCCATGATGCAACCACAATGACCGACAGCTGTCACCCGATGAGCGCTGGCTGCCCAGTCACATGCCCCGCAGGTGAGCACGTGTGTCATATGCCGGGGTCATGTGACGGCTGCCCTGGCTCCAACTGGTGCTCCTCCTACACTTGCCCTGTGTACTGTGCTGCGGACGAAGTCGTGTGTCACGATTCAGCAACCATGACAGACAGCTGCCACCCCGCAAGCACAGGCTGTCCCATTACATGTCCAGCAGGCGACCAGGTGTGCCACTCACCACCATCGTGCCCCACTTGTCATGATGGCTACAGCTTCTGTTCCCCGAGTTGCCCAGTCTATTGTGCCCCAGATGAGCTCATGTGTCATGATCCAGCCACGATGACCGACAGCTGTCATCCGATGAGCGCTGGCTGCCCAGTCACATGCCCCGCAGGTGAGCACGTGTGTCATATGCCGGGGTCATGCTCTGGCTGCTCTGGCTCCAACTGGTGCTCCTCCTACGCTTGCCCAGTGTACTGTGCAGCGGACGAGGTGATCTGCCACGATTCCACAACCATGACGGACAGTTGCCATCCGAAGAGCGCTGGTTGCCCTGTCACATGCCCTGGAGGTGAACACGTTTGTCACAGCCCACCGACATGCGAGGGCTGTGATGGCTACAATTGGTGCTCCTCCTACACGTGCCCTGTCACATGCGGCATTGATGAAATCGTCTGCCACGATCCCACAACCATGACAGACAGCTGCCATCCTTCAAGTGGGGGCTGCCCGTGACGTGTGCTGCCCGCGAGCACCATGGCCGCAGTCCGCGAACGGTGAGTACTACTGATCCGGGCTTCTGGCCTGTAACGTGTTTAAACTCTTGCCAGCAGGGTTCCCACTGTGTGCATCGTCGTAGCTTTCGCAGTGGACGTCGTCCTGCTGTGGAAAACAGACCTGCAGGTAGTTCTGTTCCAGCCAGTCCAATTGCATGCTGGTGAGCTTGGGCTTCTATTCGCCTGCGTGATTTAGATAATGAACCGAGCGCATCATGTTCCTGCAGGTCAGCCCCATCAACGCGGCCAGCTACCGGGCCTAAACTGGCACAGGTCGTCGGCTGCACTGAGCCGCAGATGCCAGAGTCTTGGGAAGCAGGTGGGTTTAGGGTTTAGGGTTTAGGGTTTAGGGTTAGCACAGAGCTTTGATTGCAAAGGGGGCCCTGTGCACACTGGTCAAGACCAGGTCCTTTCTCGTGGTCCTAGCATCGTGGTGTCAGCAGGCAGGCTGCGAGAGTGAATGGGCGCGGAGTTCAAAGAGCGAAGCTGAACCACTCCGAACACACCACCATGATTGTCCACAAGTGCTAGCCGCTTGTTCCGCCCTAAACCTTAAGCAAAGTCACTGGGATGATCAGTGGGATCTACCTCGGGATCTCGGAAGGTCTAATCCGTGCCGAACGGTGCTCCTCCCGGAGTGCTGTTGGAGGGCTCGGAACTTTGAGCCTCCTGGATGTATTAGGGCTTCTGTGAACCCGAAACCCTGAACCCTAAACCCTTAACCCTATACCCGAAACCTGAAACCCTAAACCCGATAACCCAAACCCC